GAGGGTGAAAGCTCATGGGAGAAGAAAAGAATTTTATATATATATATATATATAGAGAGAGAGAGAGAGAGAGAGAGAAAGGGAGAAAGAGTGGTAAAGTGAAATGAGTAGTAGAGAAAATCCTACAAATGATAGTAGGGAGAATAGATGCAGGATGGATTTGAACTAAGGGCAAGAGCTTGAAATGAGCACCGGGGCCATGTTAGAAAATGGACTGGATACGAGTAAGGGCGCGCACTTGCGAAGAGGAAAAATGTCTTTCAAATGGAAAGCCAGTTGAACTGGGGAGGTCAGATTTGGTTGGTGGGATAGGGTTCAGTCCGCCTCAGCTTGGACCACTTCTTTCTATGAAGATTTTAGGCATTGCTGGCACAAACAAAAGCGGATATGGAACACATAAGCAGCCTAACCCATATGCTTGCAATGTCTCATCTGAAATGTTGCATATCGTTGGACGAATGCATACAGACGAACACGGCAACATGCTAACAGTATCCAAGGCGGACATGTAATTGTTGGGCCAGCTATTAGCAGTGGAAAAATTCACTAATCCAGGCGAGCATACACATACACAAGCTCTCACGAACATACACGCAATGTTCCCAAATGGCCCTTGTTTTGTCTTCATTGTTCAACTTTTTGGGGTCAATCTTCTGTCATTCGAAGCTAAAGAGGTCAACTACCCCAGACTTCTGTTCTTTTTAGGGGTTGGCTAATTTTATATCGCATTTTATAGGTTTCGGCTCAAAAAACGCCTTGGAGATCACAATTACATTTTACCTCACTAATTAAAAATATATGGCCTGTGTTGGATCCTTGATCAGAAATGGGTTAGATAAACTTGCTTGTAGGAAGCATTCCTGTAGGATCAGTTCGCACCCGACTTTTTGGAAACTGCGAATCAGGAGGATTCAATGGTCAAAGTGAGGATTAATGATTGAGTAGATTTACTTCTCACTGGGTTGTTAGCAAACTTGATTCTTGCCATACACTTGTCTTATTTTCTGTGCGAATATGCCTTCAAACAATAGTTACTTTAAAAATAAGAACTTTAGACATCTTAAGTCGCTTAAGGGATAAGGGAATTTCTCATAGGGCAATTAGTTTGCATTATTTTACCATTTGATTTACCACAGCATTGGCTCCAATAAGATTTCAATGCGGGTAATATTGAAAGTTTTGAACTATACTCTTATATGAAATAGGTAACTTCCTCGATTTCACTAGCAAATACAAGTTTGCCTCATCGACAATCTCATAATAAATGTGGCCTAAAAGAGACCTAGCTTGCTTTGAGAGTCACATCTGCCCTATGAGAGCCATTGGCACTTGTGTCCTGCGTATCCTTAATTCATACGACCCAGTTTGAAATTTCGTCGAGGATGTTGGTTGGATCAAGCCGATGTAAAATCTGCTATCTAGCCTGTGAGACAAAACTTTTGAAGTGGAATTCAACGGAATCATGAGGAATCAGCATTTCAATGACGGAAGTTCCGCAATTTCGTTTGTTCGTAAGTCCCTATGGTCCATTGATAACTCCTCTTGACACAGGGCCCCTATTTTGCTTCCAGGACGTGAATGCGAAGCACGTAAAACTTATTCGAATGTATTGCTGAAAGCTTTGATGCCCTTCTTGATCCACCGAACGCTCATCTGTCGAAAGTATGAGAATAGGACAAATTTTACATTAGCATGAATGAGTCAACGAAATGTGCTAAATGAGTTTGAGGATAAATAATGATCACAAAATAAATTATTTCACCTGGTTGGTATGCTGTTATGAGTTTTCTTCTCCA